ATATTCATTGTATATTCACTCATTATATTCGCATTTTTTTTCTACCGCAGCATTTTATTGTCACTATGTTATAAAGATAAAAAAATTGTCATATCATCTGGATATCCTCGGACGTTATAATATATAATGTGATTATGAATAGACGTAATTGTATAGAAGGGAGAAAATGGTGTATATGTTTCCCTTTTCAACGCATTGTTGTAAAGCCAGCATTTAACTCTCGTTGATTATCTTCGTAGTAGAAAGTTACTGATTTTTTGCATGATAATAAACTAACTGACATCATCTGTCAATATGTCAGAATATTTGTTAGATTTACCGTTTAAATAGCTTTAAATTGACAGAAAATCAAAATAATTTGCACGTTTAGCGCGGTAATTGTATAATTATGTGTGTAATAAAAGTATATTAACACTACGGTGTAGTTTCTATAATGAGCTAAGGCGTGTAATTGACATTACGCCAGAGAACCACTGATTCACGTGACCCGGTCAGTAGGAACCTTGGACAAAATACGGTACCAATGTATTCACAAAGCTGTTATGCCACTTATGTTACCAATTAATTTACCTTATATAATGTGTGTATATATAAAATGTTGATGCTTTTAATAGTTTACTTGAATAGTAGGTATATTATTCAATATATAAATGTATAACGGTTTTTAAAAAAAAGGAAAAATCAATATCTGCATTCACGTATTAATGACGCATGAAACGTTTTGCCAATATCGTGTTATTTCTTGTTGACTTCAAGGAAATTCTAAAACTGCCAAATATCATTACAATTTACAAATTCAAAGGGATACTATATGTAGAACATTATATGATTATGTTATGATCGTTTGATTTTGAAATTGAAGTAGCACAATAAAAACAGTAAAATCATATATGTGACACAAATAAATTAAATATATTTTTTTTATTATATTTTATATTTTTAATTTATTCAGAAATTGTTAAAATTGATTAAGAAGATTGCATGCCCTTTCTACATTTTTATTTTTATGTGATTATGTATTGTTAACATACATTTGACATGATTCACGACAAAATACAATTTTATTCTCTTTAAAATAAACGTCACATACATCAGACATGTTGTTATTGGTATAAGTTTCGTATTAAGCTGATCTGTTTGAATATTTAATTTTAGTTTATTATTTATATTTTAAAACTTTAATAGAAGTATTCAGGTTATATAATTTCACTCATTTTTTTATTGTATTTACCCATTATGTTTTCATTTTTACGACTGCGTCTTTATTGACACTATTCGTTATAAACGAAAAATTGTCATATCGTCTGGATATTCTGGGACCTTATAATATATAATGTCATTATGAATAAAAAGAATAGAAATAAACGTGGCTTTGTTTAAACCTTTTCATTTACAATGCATTGTGTAATAGCCAGAATAAATATTTCGTACTTATTATCTCCATATGTTGAAATTTAATAACTTTTTGCAAAAATAAACAAACTTATTCGTTCTGTCAATATGTCAGTATATTTGGTTACTAATATTTAATATATCATAATAAAACTTCAAATTGACAGAGAATTAAAATTATTGCAATCTGAATAATTACTTCTGTACCATTGTCTTAGCCAAGTACTTGTCGGACTTCGCAGGCATTTTAGCGTGGAATCGATAACGACAGCTTATTGGTTTATCTCTGTGACCCCTGCCAGTTTGATTGACATGCGGCGTAATGTCAATTTACTATCTGGAACGAATTAATCGGGCGGTTTTATTGCTATCTCACCGTCATGGAAGAGTAGATGTTCAGCAGTACACAATATACATTTGTTAGAATGTGGTAGAGTGTTATTGTTTTAAAATCACAAGGAGTGCAGTTAAATTCATAGAAATATTATGATTAGATGCAAATCAAGGTATTTATTTCAGTTTTTTTTCAGTTCATGTGGAAAAATATGTATCATTTCCACGTAATGATTGTTTATTTGTATTAGTATTTGTTATAGATTAAGAATATAATGTGAAAATATGTAAGGGCTGACGGCTAATAAGTTGACTTCTTATGAAATATATTGTTCCGTATACATATGCATTGTACATCACTTCTCTGTCGATTATCGATTATAGTGAGACCCAATAACACAAAGAAAGTGACTTTCATTTGAAGGAAGAAATAAAAAATGAGCAGAAATCGGTATCGTTTCTTTACAAAAAACACACACATGATTTAGTAACATATCGTTATCTTTGCACATGTAAGAAAATCGATTTAATACCAATAGATGCAAAAAAGATAAAACATATGAGTGAAACAATTCAAACGATATTAGAATGAAAATATCTAAATGCGTTTTTTTTTCTTGCATTTATAATAGGACATGTGAATAATAATAAATCAAAACGCTGTAACTCGTATCTTTATATGCCATGTTGAAATTGATACAAATTGCAGACACGTGTAAAACAAACTTCGAGTAGCCGATTAATTGTAAATACTTTCGCCGTTGACGGCGTGTGGTCTGAGCCCATCCTTATCTCAGCTGTAATCGATCTAACTGGTTTATCAGCTGGATAGATTCATGCCTTTGATTATAAATAGGCGGGGCTATTTCCTTATTGCTTTGATTGTATAACATCTTTATACTCTGCTATTACAGCGGGTTGCAATATCTGTTGCTTTAGTCCATTCATTATATTGCAGAAAAGATATATAAAATTACTTTAAGCAAAGGCCAGTATACAGAGAAACAATGTGAGAAGATATGCAATCCTTGTATATTATATAAATGAAACAAATGAGCTATTAAATCATCGTATGAGAGTTATTTTTATTTATCTTATTACATTAAAATTTTACGCTTTTCATAAATAAAGAATATGGTTTTACAATATTGGCATAAGGGTTTAAATAATTCCAAACTTATTCTGTTTATTTCATTTTAATGCTTGTGATCAATAAAGTAAATGATAACGGTTATACTAAGTTGCATTATAAGCAATTTCATATTGTTTCAATATTTGTTTTCAGATAAAGGCAATGTCAAGAAACAGACGTTATAGAAGAAACCAACAAGATATCACTCTATACGTGAATGAAAATTTTATCGATTGCATGTCAAACTTTATTTTATCATGTTTTGCTTATTTAGTTTTGTTGTTGTTGTTTTTTTTTCTTCTTTTTATCAATTAACAAACATATCTTGAACAATAGATTATACATGTATCGTACTAAAAATAAATAACAAATAAATGACGACCAAATTTTCATATGTATTTTAAAGACGCAAAATGAAGAAGATAGAAAGATGATTAAATATGCGATGTTAAAGTTCTTTTCAATAAATACAGGATTTGTTTTTATCGATTGAAACTAGTATGAAAATAAATATTTCGCGAATATTTAAATATTCGAACTTTCATGCCACAGTGTGAAAATTAATTAATTCCGTAGGTATAGAAAAAAAGTTGAATTTTCTGTTTATTCCGTTTGTTCGACATTTAAATTTGAAATACTTCTAATTTCGTTATTTGGCTGATTTTAGAAGAATGTAGTCCGGCAAGACACCAGTGAAAATACGGAAATATGTTGAAACAGAAAATATTGAAACAAACTACTCACTTTCATGTTATCAATATTTCTCAATATTTCCGAACTTATATTAAGGATATTTAATAATATAATGAAAAGATGATATCAAGGACTTTTTTTATATAATTACATGATTAATTTCATCGAGTGGTATGAAAATGATTATTATACAATTTGTTATAAACACGGATAAGATATAATTAATTGGATAATCATGAAATTAAATCCCGTTATTTTGGACAAAATAATATATGTTTTTGTTTATTAAATGCGTTTACTTTATTTAAAATTGTTACAGATATTACAGTCCCATTTTTATTTATTTTAATATGTATATAAATGAAAGAAGTTACGACTCGAATGAAAGTACGGAGAATATAATACACAGCAGTAAATGTAATCTTATACAGAGAAATATATGGAAAATTAAAATACGCATTTCATTGATGAATACATCTGAATATTTTTTCATAAGTGTATAACTAATGAAACATATACTTTACACTACATGTATAGTATAGAATAAACAACTACAACTACATAAGAATAAAAAACTAAAGATCAGCATGCCTATCAATTTGTTATGTTTTCAATTTACTTAAATGATAATACGTGTACGGTTGTTTGATAAACATATTTATGTTGTAAAAAATAAGTTGAAATAGTTTACAGATAAATGTCAACAGTTTTATATAAACCATTATTATATTATTTATTGAATGTAATTATTATTGGGTGTATTTTTTGTGTTTCTTCTTTATATTCTCAAATAAAAGTATGAAAACATGTATCGAAAATTAACAGACATTTCCGTTATTATTTAACCTTCCTTTTTTATATTTAAAAAATGCATTGGCCGTCTACAATTAATTAAAACGGCTTTTGTAATCCGCACAAATGACAATAATATTGACCCATTTAAAAGCAAGCTAAATCTTCTTCTATATGTATTCATCAAATAGCCCCGAAGAACGATTTTCCAACATAATCGTCAGAAAATAAACTCGTATAAAAGGTAATGGAATATTATCCACAGAACGGACAGGTACCAATCGTTTCGTATGAGGTTTAAAAGATAGGGGAATTATTCCTCTAAGTCAGCGAACCCTATCTCTCTCTGAGCATGTAAATTTGTTGTCGAAAAAGTGGTTTTAGGTCGACCCCCGGAAAAAGGACATCTGGAATTTCCTTTTTTATTCTGGAACGCATTTGAAGTATTTTATCATGATAACCTTTCTTTTTGGTGACAAATCTCATCTGAATTCATTGTCACTGAATATTTCGACACAAAAACTGGATAAGTCGATTGTTTGTTGACTGTAAAATGGTTTTTGTCAACCATAGAAAGGCAGGTGCCTAAGCCCCGCCTCACCTGTAATGCGCATAGGAAGTAGATCCATTGGTATTTATATGTCCCTGTTAGTGAGAAATATAATCGCCAAGGCTCGTTCCCGATTGAACCGATCACCCCCGGGTTGGGATTCATTCTATTAATCTATGATTTTTCTTCTCAATTGTACAAGTCGTATCTCTCTTACTTTTCAAATATATCCTAGCATTTTTTGTTAGTAAAGCTCATATAAAAATACTGAAACAATTTGTCTGTGAAAATTTACAGGCCACAAAATAAGACAAAACGTAATTTGGGTTAGTTTATCAGTTCACAAAATTGTTTGATACTTTTTCATATCAAACTTAAACATGTAGAATTACCATTTTTCAGTTGAATGTGTTAGCTATAATTTATATATATTTCTGAGTTTTTTATGGCAATGTCAAATGTGTCTCACGAAAATTAAACAGGACGTAAATGTTCAATTGGCATACACAATCTTAGTACAGTAATCCGACAAGCTACAACGTACGTACGTCTTTGATAGTGTGTACACTCGCGACTGAATTGAATGATTTCAATTGTGTTTATAAAACAGAGTCACAAACATACCAATGTCGATTTGCCACTGTCGCAATGACACCAACTGAGGCAATATAAACGGGCATTCCTTAAAGGGTATAAAGCTGTATAGTATGAAATATCTTTATTAAGTTAACAATAAAATTATGTTGTTCCAATAACCTTATAGTCGATTCTCAAAGGAGATGTTACATTTTTTTCTGTTATTTTACATACAAGAATACTGTATGTAAATAGGTTGAAATGTTCCGAAACAAAAAAGAATGCTGATATGTTCAGTAGGGTTTAATTATTTAGCAATACGTTTGTGCATGCCCAATTTGCACTTAAGAAAACTTATTTCCTTCAAACAGGTATAATTAAAATATCAATTTTAAAAATTCAAACTATACTTTTGCAGCAGACAAATAGCTTTATACACTTAAAATCATTTGTGCAAATCTTGTCAGAAAAGCCCTAGTTTTACAAATGTATTGCAAGCAAATAGTAGACATTGTTGAAAGCGATTATTAATGATTGTATGCGGACTTGAATTTCTTCAATTTTATTAATATATTGTAACTGTATATGTCTAAGCAAAAACAAACAAAAAACAATTATCAGATTTTCATACTTCGTTAATTATTACATAATAATAAATTATTTTATTTAAAATTTATTTAAAATATACAGTTAGCCTAATGCCTAATAGTAATGTATCATTATTATGATTAAAACATAGAATTCTACTTCATTTCATTAGTATGTCACCTGAAGAACAGACCTATAAAACTACTGAGGTTCCCTGTCTGGGCTGAAGTTAAGATACATTCGCCAGTATGCCTACTAAATACTTACTAAAACTTTTACATGAAGGAGTAAGTCTCTAATATTCGGAAGTATATGCGGTCCTGGCAAACATGGTCCTAGTTCTATTAAGGTTTTAAAATTAATAATATATCCTTGGTTTGAACATTAATAGTAATACGAGTATATTCCAGTTTAACTAGACAAATGGTGAAATACTTCCAGTGTCCCTCATTTCAACCATTTAGCGACAAGTGGCCTTCTGTAGACTATCAGTCCCTGCTGGGATTCCAACCCATAGCGATGAGGGAACTTTGGCTCATAGTTTAATTCATCTATACGTGTCAAACTTCTTACAAACACTCCCATAAGCATTTTACTTTAACCACACAATCTAGCCTTATTTCCCTTTGGTATTAATCCCGTTTTAGGAGCATACACGCTGTGTTATCGTATTATAGATTTGTTAATTAGTTTAAACTGCTGGATTGAGCGGTTCGACCATAATTATAATGGCTTTTCCTTATTAAGTTTGTGACCATCGACGATTTGGTATAAACTGTTCATCTGTATGTAACTGTCGTGATAACACAAGTTGTAATGCTACGTCTGGACAATGCAACACTGGTTTATGTGACTCAGGCTGGATTGGCAACAGCTGTGACAAAGGTACAATCACAGTTTTATTCCACAATAAAAATAACCTAATGTTTTTTGCACAAATATCTTGTTGGTATGTTTTTCCTTCGATTGGTTTGGTTTTAATTTTTTTAATGTATTCAGTATTTCATAATTTTGTACACTTTATGCTAAGGTCATGCAGTTATATATTAGTGCAAGTGAAATAAAGTTTGACGAGCTTTGCATACACGCTATTTATATCATATTGTAGATTTGTAAACTAGTTAGAACTGCTAGTTTGAACACCTAAGGTTATATCATTTGTCTTGTGTTTCAAGTTTGTGACCACCGACGATTTGGTATAAACTGTTTCTCTGTATGTAACTGTCGTGAAAATTCAAGCTGTAATGCTACGACTGGACAATGCAACACTGGTTTATGTGACCCTGGCTGGCTTGGCAACAGCTGTGACAAAAGTACAAACAAACTTTTATTCAACAAAACATAACCTCATGGTTATGTAAAAATATGATGTTTCTATTTAATTTAAATGCATTCAATAATTCACATTTTTAAATATTTCATGGCAGCACGCTTCCAGATTCATCATAATTCATGAAAATTTTAAAAATGTATCTAAAAGTAAAATATTGTGAAATGAACAAAAAACGTTATTGACACATTGCAATCAGCACATATTACGCACGTAAATTACCGAAACGAGATCGAATATGCAAAAATAGCCGCTACAAATATGGTGATGAATCCTGCACAAACAGTCATTAATTGCACATAAGATATTAATTATCACTTGAATCTTTAATCTGTTAACTTTTCTTAATATCTTAGTAAAGGTTATCCAAGTTTAATTTTCTGGAAATATTTGGCTAATTTAGGAGCTTTACCTTCATGCTATTTTTATCATTTTATATATTTATAAATTAGTTGGAACTGCTAGCTTGATTACCTTCACGCTAAGTATTATGACCTTTCCTTATTAAGTTTGTGACAATCGAAGATTTGGTATTAACTGTTCCTCTGTATGTAACTGCCGTGAAAATACAAGTTGTGATGCTATAACTGGACACTGTAAGACTGGTTTTTGTGACCAAGGCTGGCTTGGCCACAGCTGTGACAAAGGTACATACAATTTTGTATTCAACAAATAAAAGAATAAACAAGCCCTAATATTTATGTAAAAAGTATATTGTTGGTTTGCTTTTTGTCTCCATTTGTTTGTTTTATTCGATGCATTTTTGTTTTCATAATATCATTTTACGGACGTATAAATTATAAGCATGACATATTTTTAAACAAAATACGACTGCGTGCTATAACAGTATGTTGAAAAGACAATAATGATAAACACACACAGTCTCGATCTTTTATAATCATTACAAAGAACCTGATTTATTACCCCTCACTTTTTTCGTAATGCTAATTTGCCATAGGCCTCTGGGAGTTATTCTTACTGTTAATGCAAGTGTACCACGTGACTACGAATTTTGTACTGTTACATAGGTAACAGTATATTTTAACAGTATAAAATCTGGCTACGCCTCGGGTAACAGTATTTTCCTCGGGATGATATTTTTACTGTTACCCACAAACCCATGTGTTATTTATATAATGTTGTCAACATTTTCCTGAACTCGTCACATAAAAGCTCCCACAAAATTATAACTCATGTCAGTTCCTTTTATTGTTAAAACACGTTTTGCTGTATATTCTTTACAAACAAATATATTAGAGTATCATAATTAAAAACCTAATGTTTCTAACTCTAAAAATACAAATTATAAAGAAAATCTTTCATTGCAAGATGATTTATCACTTAATCAGGGCTGGGAATCAAAACTGCGTCGTATCCTACAAAATGTAAACAAACGCCGCCATCTTGGAGCGAAAAATGTATGTTTTTGTATATAACTCTTTTTGTTGGAAATGACTGAAAACCAGATATATGTATTAACAAGCTACACTATTTTCCGCTTCGTTCGGTATATGTTGCTTGCACAACTATTTTGTAAAACAAAAGTTATAGCGAACTTGCAACTCGAAGCGGGACAGAATTTTTATGAAATTGTGTGGATACGACGCAGTTCATATTGCTTTATCTATCGTTTTTTCCTTCAAATCAATTATATACTCGTTTTCAGAGTTCACCATAAACTTCAAAACATAATTTTGCATCATTTACTAAACTTTCATTAAAAAGAGATATTTATTTTCCAAGAAAATAATGATTTTTACGAAATGATACGACGCAGTTGAAAATAAAATATGATACGACGCAGTTGTATTTTCATTGCAGGCTGCATATTGGTTAAACTATTTAAATTATGTGCTAGGTATGCTTATAACGTCCAACAACATTTCTTCAACTTAAGTCAAAAGCAGAGGTCACTCTTTGGTTCCATAAAAATGGAAATGAAATACAATTCTATTAAGGCTACATTTTTCGGTCGCATTTTAGTACCTATCATAAGCATCTACAAATTCCGAAAAGCTGTATCAAATGCAATAAACATTGAAACACGTGATCGCACACCTATATCACAACGTGTTCCAGTGTTGCCTTAGCATGCTTCTAAAATTGTTCCCGTGAGTTCGAAATGGGAGTGATTACTATTTTTGATACAAAATTCAATATTCCAGTGTAACCTCTCCTGTAACCTGTATTAATCAGGAATGACTTTTTTTTAAAAAAAAGAGAAAAAAAAAAGAGAAAGAATTACAAATTTTGAAAAGGTCTCTCGCTATCGGGAGAGAGCTATGCGCAAATTGCATGCCTACCTTTGTTACTTGTAATTAGAAATAATTTCCGTCACTTCCGTGATTACTTATGTCTTTTACGTGCCGGTTTTATTGTATTCATTTTCTTAATAATTGGTGAGAACAGATGAGCTTTATTATTTGAAATTGAACATTAAATTGTTAAAATTATATTATAAATGGTTAAGCTACAATATATTTTTGCAAGTAGGCTATGCGTTCCGTTTAGTCATTTTATGTTAAGCGCCGCGGAACTTTACCGCTGATTTTATCGTATTGCATTTCTTTATCGCCGATGAGGAAAGGTCTACGGAATGTATTTTCTATATTTGCACTTAAGTATCATTCTTCTCCATTAAAAATATTTAAATTTTCAAAATCGAGTTACATAATTATGATACAACTACAAATTATTTTGTAAAAAAGGTGTCCGTTTTGCAAAGGTATTTTACGCTGTGCATCGATAAATTTGATACAGATATAGGGCAGTCATGATCTTTCAACAGTATTGAAGAAGTTTTCACAATATTGAACAGAAAATTTAGGTCAGATTATCGCATCGAATTTTCAACAGACTATAGAGACATGGCATCTCAAGATACCTTCATACTAAAGTGTGATTTTTATTTGATAATGAATTGCCTGAAAACTTAAACAAAAGTTTTCAGAAAATGACTTCACAGAGGATTACCCCCTGTTTACATTGAAAATTTCTCTGCTAGTCTTACCGAAATAAGAAATTTAAATGTTATTATCTTTACAATTAATTCAAATATTTATAATCTTAAAACTTCACGCCAGAAGTTAATAAAAAAGTTGCTTATTAGTACAGCTGACGTTAACAAATTTTGTTGAAAAAAAAACAACAAATCAGACAGGTGTGTCCGACCGAGGCCGAGCTGTTTATGTTTACTGAATTCAAATCACTTGAACTGAAATGCTATGAATTCGAAAAATTACAAGGGACTTTTATTCTTTCGTGTGGCAAACCTATCAAGCTAGTTTCAAAATGTTGATGGTTCTCTGCAGGTGCAACATTTTGCATGAAATAATGCCCAAAAGCGCACCAGAGGTCCTCGCCCCTTGTAAAGCTAATGTGTAGAGTGAAAGTTTGAAAACAAACCACAAAAAAGCATTATCATTATCCAGAACATGCAGAACCACAGTTAACTTAGAGCGTAGCTAGCCAAAATGAATTCAAGTCAATAGATTTCTACATTTTTTTGCGAAAAAATTTCGGGATAATATTGACTATATAGGAAAATATAAGAAATTATTTAAGATATTATGACCAATTAGGTAACATGTTCATGTTTAACTGAAAAGTAGCTTTTGCAATGTAAACTTTCAAATTAAATGTTATACTAGTATTGGACATGACACAATGTATTCTAAATAATCAAAAGCAACAGAACATCGCTATACACCGCAAATGATCTGGGGTTTTTTATCTAGCGCACGTGATTATTCCATGAAATATAAATATATTGCCAAAATTATCCCTGTTGAAAAGACTGCCAAAAATACAACTGCGTCGTATCATATTTTATTTTCAACTGCGTCGTATCATTTCGTAAAAATCATTATTTTCTTAGAAAATAAACATACCTTTTTTAATGAAATTTAAGTAAATGATGCAAAATTATATTTCGAAGTTTATGGTGAACTCTGAAACAAATATATTATTGATTTGAAGGAAAAAACGATAGATAAAGCAATATGAACTGCGTCGTATCCACACAATTTCATAAAAATTCTGTCCCGCTTCGAGTTGCAAGTTCGCTATAACTTTTGTTTTACAAAATAGTTGTGCAAGCAACATATACCGAACGAAGCGGAAAATAGTGTAGCGTGTTAATACATATATCTGGTTTTCAGTCATTTCCAACAAAAAGAGTTATAAACAAAAACATACATTTTTCGTTCCAAGATGGCGGCGTTTGTTTACATTTTGTAGGATACGACGCAGTTTTGATTCCCAGCCCTGTTAATAATATCAATTCAGTTTTTGTTCGTTGTCACTTCAATTTTGACTTTGTTCGTTGTTTCAGGCGGAAATCTGATCGAGAGGATAAAGAACCAGATTAGAACACACAGTTCTTCAGAAGCCAAAAACACTACCTCGACATTTGCTGTTGATGGACAATTAGGCCCGGATCCGGATAAATGTCAATGTTGTAGTATAACAAATAATTCACCGTTATCTTGGTGGTTGTTAGATCTAGGGAAACGATATCCATTGAAAAGTATAATAATTTATGGAAGGAACAAAGGTGACTTTATAACAGCGCATATAAAATTTGTCAGTATTTATTCATTTAAAATACAAAATTCATTTGATGTCATACAATGGAAAAGTGTATTCATTTCTTTTTTTCTTGATTCGTTCCAAAACTTTAATGTATACGTAAAAAGATATATGCATTTTGGGTATATGGGAAAAAAATAACATTTTTATTTGCTGATAAAAGCCTTGAAATTTAACTTGAAAAATCACATATTCATTGTGATATGAAATAACATTATAAATGCATTTTTTTTTTTCAGAGGATTCGTATCAACAACTAACAGGCTTCAAGATTCTTCTATTAAATAACACCGTCGATAATAAACCTGATATATTCTTGTCTAATGACTTCCTTCATACGTTCGGAGATAACAGATATGAGCAAACGTTAAATAATGCTTTAGCAAGATATATTAAGATAGAAAGACCGGGCGTTCTAACTCTTTGCGAAGTTATTGTTATAGACGGAAGTAAGTGTTGATTTGTTATTATCACAATATTGTTTTCTTAATTTTACAAAATAGGTTTTATGTTACAATGTTTATTCAGAATTTTATTGATAAGCTTGAACACCACATGCATTTGATTTTTGCAATGAGACAGGTAAACTCCATCCCTGTGTCGCTGAGGCGCCAGACCTTCCTCTTGATTCTAGGGCACTGGACCGTCTCAACGTAATATTTTCGTAGATCTGTGGTCAGGGGATGACTGATCAAATCAACTTCCAGCTGTAGCAAAATTCCTTTATTATAATGAATTTAATTATTAAAGGTAAGGTTATAAAATCCAAACGTACACAGTACAATCTGATTTTCCTTCAAAAATATATTGTTTAATTTACCCTATTAGTCAAACGTATATACGTCATAAGAAATCATTTAAATAACAAAGGATTAGTAAAGAGGAAAGGTGAAAAGATAGCGTATTTGTACATCACGATGGGTAGTTGATTTACAATGTTACGACATACTGCTTAAATTTAGAGTATGAGTATATAGGGATAATAGGGATGATATATGTGAATTTGTTCACCTGTGACACTTGCTGAATAAACCATACTGGTGTTGTCTCTTTTTCCAAATTAAACACTCGTATCAACACAGCGTTTTACAACCAATTCTTCAGATCTTTGTGAATCGAATCGAACTTGTATAGAGGCTGAATTGCATGCTTTTATGCATGTAGGATCGCGTTTTGGCTAATAACCTTCCTTTATTATCTATGTGTTATATCTTTGAATAAACATAATTATATGATATTGTATTTTAGTTGTATTTTGATCCATTAACAATTGAAGTCATTGACATACACTCACCATATCGAAAGTTTATGTATACCTTAAAGTTACATTAAATAAATATGTTAAAATATTTTTGCCGTCGGCCTAAAAACCAAGCATTATATAGTTTCATTAACCTATTTAACAGTATCGTTGTAAATCTCATCAAATATTGTTCATAAATTAGGATTTTAAATGGGAAACCCCGCGGTAACACTAAAGTTCGTATACGAATTTTAACATGCAAATGAAGACTATAATCAGCTCGTGTATGCGCTACGTCACGGAGTTATAGTTGCTATCCGGAACACAGCAAATATAAAATTTTCTTGTGCAAACACACTTTTACCGTTTAAGCTTCACGGTGCACTAGGCCTGTGGTTCAGAAAAAATAATCATCTCATAAAAAAGATTAAATTTGTATGAAAATATCCGTTACAATGCGGAAATATACCGTTAAATTAGTACTGCTACTTATAGTCATGTTTGTTGATTTAATATTGATGTACGGATGATCTGAAGGCGGAGTTTCTCATGCAAACAGAAATTGTACTTCCGAATTCGCCACAATGAGGTTGCACATTTGTATGCTCATTAAACTCATTTTGGTTGCCTGGACACCAAAATAAGATCTGGAGTCGATATGAAACCCAATTTATTAATAAATTGTCGCTATTTCTTTTTTTATGAAATTTATTTAATGTAGCTTTAAGCTATGTATACCATAATTTAATTTTTTTTTATTTATCTAAAAACGGCTTTCCAAGGCCGTCATTAAATAATTTGATCTGTGAATATAAGCAATACAAATTAAAATTAACAAAGCATACTTGACAGATTGCAGGGAAGGGACATTTGGAGAGGAATGTGTACAAGACTGTCATTGTGCTGATAATAAGCCATGCCAGACAATACATGGTTATTGTCAATTTCCAATTTGTAAACTTGGTTGGATGGGCAAGTCATGTAATGAAAGTAAATATGAAATATACAGTACAATTTGTTTGAAGATTGCAAAGTACAATTATTAAGAACAATTTTATACATTTATTGATATACCTTTATTTTATCTCGTACATAAACTATAAAGATGTGTAGTTGAATTAATTTAGAGAGAAAAGAATGTGATAAGCATGACCGTTGTTTGCCAATAGTTATTGAATACCAATCGGAAGCACGAGCATATCCCGCATAAATTAGTCGTCAACATATATATAATAACGGATTTATACTACAGCAAATCCTTGAATTTGTTTAATGCCGGAAGTTTACGAAATATTTGAATATTAGCTATCTAAATTTTCTTGTACTTTTAAATTCATTATCTCACTGTTTCAAATGTCATATCAGGCGCATGCAGTAACCAATATAACAATAGATTTGTATTTAATTTATAGATCGCTGTATAACCATTAGATTATTTATTTTGTTGATTTTGCAAGGTGTCTTTTTATTTCATTTTTTTTTGTTCAACTTTACACCAAATGTAAATGATTTGCCATACGTTAGTAGGTGTATTATTTTGTGGTAACATTTTTTGAAAATATGCCTGTTCTATTACATAACAACATATAGGTTTGTGAGTAATAGTAAAAGTATCATCCCGGGAAAAATGCGCCTCGAGAAACAGTAATTTTACTAGGGATGATAGTTTTGCTGTTACTCACAAACCTATGTGTTATTTATTTTATTACCCCGAACAGATACTCTCCTGGGATAATATTAGTTAGTTTTTATTAACATAGTCACATGGTACATCTGAGTTAAAATTAACTTTACAAAACTAAAGAGAAGTGATAATAATCATTCTCTTTTGTAGTCTTCTCTCTGTATCTTATGAAATGGTGAAATAAGAAATATTTGGCATAAATATTACTTACAATGAGACAATGTGCAGATGCTTTAGCCTTCTCTGATCAAAATTGGCCCTGTCCTGAAAATAACTGGATTGATATTAACGTACTTAAGTCTCAGTGTGAAAAGCAGCTAAAGTGTCTAGAGCTAAAATATTTAGCATTCGCTTATATAACTTTACAAAACCGATATGAATCATGCCTCTGAATTTACCAGATAGGCATTCGATTTCTATAGACTTACCTAGAACAAAAACGCAGTTAGGACTTATAATCCGAAACTGCAATATCCATAACTTAAATATTTGGCATGAAACATCGCCAGGTGGACTATTACATAACTGGTTTTATTTATGACCCTTGAAATAATACTGGCCCCGCTCTGTAAAGGGGATTACTTAGTTAAGTAAGTCGTGTATAGAAAAAGTAAAACACATTTAACAAACAAAAACTTCTATCTTCATATTATGTCAACAATGAACAGTAAATTATTTGCTTTATCATAATGTTTAAGTTGTGTAACAAAAGTTTATTAAACTTGTTTTATTAATTAAACTAAAATGTACAATCATTTACAGAATTTGTTCGTGCATTATTCGAGGCATTGCACATATCAATTATTACATTGGTGTTAATATTTCAAGGCTGTTCTAAGAACACGTTCGGCGAAGAATGCAAGCAAGTTTGTTATTGTGAGGAGGGCACTTGTAGCAGCGACTATGGTATTTGTCCTAGTAAATGCAGATATGGATATCGTGGTGTACATTGTAACATAGGTAAGTAATATGCATCTTAGCAAAACTATCTCACTAAACCATAAACCATACATCATGCACATCTATTGATCGACCAAAACTGAGGAACTCATTTGATTTCAACACAGTTAATACTATATTATTGTATTATACTTATTCTCTATGTTTTCCACATTGCCCATGCTTTATTAATGTTTTGTCTTCTTCTTGTGAAGTCTTAATTAAGTATTCTTTAGCTGACAATAAATGTACTTGTTTATCTTTCATTACTCATATTAATCTGGGAATTAGCTGACATACACACAATTTTGTAGTCTGGATGGAAAGAGTGTGCAATGTTTCAAATTTACACATTTCTTCAGTGTAGGTAAATGATCTCTTATCTTATCTACTCAGAGGGTATAGAGGAAGATAATTCAGCCGATCATTCATCTTCTGTCGTTATCGGAGGCTCTGTTGCTGGCGGTGTTGTTGTGATTGGCATTTTGTTGGTGTTGGTTGTTTTTATATATAAACAAAGGATGCAACGAGTCAAGCGGTATATTTTTTCTTTTATTGTTTGCAAAAAAAAGAAGAAAATAAGAAAAAAATGAATACATTTGATAATAAGGCCGTGCATAAAGGTATATTTCGCAAAATAAAACATACATGCTGAAGATTGAATTCAGCTTATTCGATGCTAGAATTGATACGCTGCTCTTGAATATCATAATCAGACTTCGTCGAACAAACCTTCTATTTCTACTTTGAATCATTGTTTGCGTTATTCTGTAGGGATTCCCTCCTTAATTTGAAAAAGAGGGGGTTCACAACCTAAACAATTCTGTAATACATTAATCTACATATCGGATTTGAGACCTCCCCCTAATTAAAGATTTCGTTATTTATGTTAAACAAATAATTGTTTTTATAATTAACAGGAATGAAAGTGAAAACTACTACAAAACAATCCATCGCAATATGGCACAAGTAGATGATGAGACAACTTACGATACAATTGACATTTCACACGGTAACAAAAACAATAAATCATTCAAGTAACTAAATTTAAACTAAAAAAAAACGTTAACTTTGATAATTTGCAAATAATCTGTGTAAAGTTGAATAAAAAAACCCCATTTAATCAACTTTTTTAAAAATTTATATGCTGATATTTTAATTTTGTTTGGATAAAATAATACTGATATAAAAATGCCGTACCATGTCAATTTAGCATTCACTACTTCTGCATGTCATGTTAACGACAACGGGTTTCAAATAATAAGCAAAATAGTTTCTTAATATAAAAAACTTTAATATCGTATTCGATGTATACGCATCTAATGGGGCATATGGACCACTATATTGAAAGAATATTGACATTGACTAACATTTCTATCTGAAACGAGTTGCAAATTACTGCAAGTCAACTCAATTAAAAAACTTACTTTAATATACTGTCGACAAACGTTATATGTGTGCAGTGACATTAAATGTTTATATGTTGCAGATAATCAAGACCAACAGAACGAAGAAGGTAATGTGAGTGTCACAGGATTATAACATTTCAGTCAAACATTTAGATATTAAATAAATAGAGGATATTAAAGTTTTTTCTATAAATACATGATTTATTTTCATCGAGTGGTATGAAAATAAATATTTCATGAGTGGCGATAGATGAAAATAAATCATGTATTTATAGAGAAAACTTGAATTTTCTGTTTATTATATACATTGCTCTTTTTTGACGTTAAAATTTAAAAGTATTTCCCTTAAATTTTGCGTATTGGCAGAATTTAATAGAAAGTAGTCCAGCAAGACATCAGTGAAAATACGGAAAATATGTTTTACTGCAGTGAAAAATAAATTTTTACAGTGAAAATAAGGAAAATGAAAATACGCATTTTATTTAATTAATATTTCTCAATATTTCATTTATAAGTATATAATAAATAGAGGATATTCAAGTTTTTTCTATAAATACATGATTTATTTTCATCGAGTGGTATGAAAATAAATATAAATAAATAAATTTTTACAGTGAAAATAAGGAAAATGAAAATACGCATTTTATTTAATTAATATTTCTCAATATTTCATTTATATGTATATAATAAATGTTCGTTTTACATTGTGAGTTCATGTTGATGTTATTTTGTGCATAGTTGAAAGTATGTTCAACCTTATATAATTACATGTATGTTTATAGAATTTAGTATTTAGATTGTGTTTGGCAACACACAGCGGAAGAATTATGGATGTTGTTTGTAAGAATCAGGTACATGACTCGATTTCAGATTACTGTTATATAGTAGATGATTAATTGTTCTTAAACAAAGTATATTTCATCATGTGAATGTTGATCAAAATCAATAACAGTTCTTTATGTTGTAAGAATTATTTAATGGAATATTGAAATCTTAAATTTCTATTTTATCGATATTTGACTAATACTTGAAATATATACTTGTGCCCAATGGAGATCAATCCACTTTTATAATGCATAGTGGAAGAAATAGTTTACATTTGTTTGTTTTGTGTGACAACTCTATTTTTTAAGCTGACAAGATGGCACAAAGTGATACCTCAGTCAAAAACCACAGTTTTGTGCTTAATTTCGAATATAACTCGAACTACATTTTTTAATTATTAGCTTATCGACTGGAAGCTTTTAATTCAGACAACCTCTTCATAATACATAAGAAAGTGTGGGCTTAAATATAAGTTTGAGATGGAAATGACCGATTTAAGAACGCTTGGTTGTGGTTTATTAACTTATTATTGTATCTTGTGACTATCGTTTGTTTTAACTTGTGTACTAGAATTGTTAGAGTTATGTCGTTCATAAACATACAAGAAAGCATTGATGCAGAGCACCAAAGGGCGTCCAAGCAAAAATGCAGCAAGTGAAGATGAACTAGTAGACATCTGATGACCAGATATTTTTATAAACTATTCAGTGATTAATGGGTTTTTACCCTAATTGTATATCATTTATGAATGGGCGGACGAAAGACATTGTTCATCATGAAATTTGCTAGGAATAGAATATTAAATGTTTTTTCCACATGAACTTGAAATTATATCAATATTAAGGATAATATCCAAAGTATACAGGTCGACATGTATACCCCCCTGTATGGTATCAGTTTATTTATACTATATAGGGGGAATTGTTGGATATTATCATTAATATTGTTTATTTGATATAATATAAGTTTATGTGGTATTTTCTTTGGAACATACAAAGTCTGTTATTGATTTATTGGGAGGTCAATCTACTAATAATGAATTTCTCGTCTGACCAACCAGTGTGCTTACATTACTATCAATAAACCCATAACAACTCATGTTAAAATTGCATAGTTAAAATTTCACAATATTCGGCAAACCAACATTCCACTCAAACTACCATACATTCGATTGCCTCCAAACAAAATGCAGAAGAAATCCCTGTCGATTTTAGCTAAAGAGACTTGAACAGCGAATAGGTTTTATAGTACTACTGCTAGACCTGTTAACTGTCGCACAACGTCAAAATAAAAGCGACATTTAAAATTATGATCTAGGACTATTCAAATATTCAAGGTAAAATGTCATAAAAGTGCCGGAAAAAAGAAAACCCACAGATAAGACAAAATATATTGAACAGTTTTATTATACCACCTCATATGCGTTTAAATTACATGAATTGTTGATTTCGTCAAAAACATGTGTACAAACGATATTTTTATATTGTGCAAATATATAAAAGGGGAAGTTGTAATCCAAAATTCATTTTAAACACTGTGAAATAAGTAATAAAATGTTTGTTTACGTATAACCTTACTTTTTTATGTACTTATAATAATGTAAAATGTATGATAAGACGTTTCTATGTTTTCTACATGTACATAGTTGACATATTTTTCGCTCATGTTTATGTTATAAGATGCTAAACTTATGTATAATCCTAATAGAAGGTTTTTCTGTTCTTAATCGGTATTTCTAGTACCGTCCATGAACAGGTTCTATCAAATTAGGCTTTCTAGAATTTTCAATTTTGACGTTTTAGGACGGTCTTTAGGGATTCCGTTTTTCTCTAATTTATTGTCATATCAGTATTATTTGTGCATATCGTACAAAGTCACCCCGTACAAACATATAATCAAACATAATATATTTTCGATCCTTAAAGACCGTTCAGCACGACATTATTGTTGTGCAGACATGTTAAGCAGTATATATAATCGTTGCTTTTGATATATATTTTGTTTGTTTACTATCTTGTGAAATATTACGAGTATTAGGGCACTGAAATTAAATGAAATTTAATAAATTATAGATGAAAACTCGTAGTCATTCATGGACCCTTTATCATCCAAAATATACCTATATAGAATATCGATATCACTTGGCCGCGTCGCTCAGTTGGGACAATCATCGAACTTAAGTAGTATAGTGTCTACATAGGTTAAGCTTCTAGACGTGACTTGGGAAATATATTTTTTATTCTTTTATTGGTGTAAATTTAGTGCCGTTTGATTTCATTTTATCCGACTACATTAATTATCATTTTTAACTTAAAATTTGAAACGTATCGTATCGGATAAGGTCAGTATTTCATATTATTTTGTTTTTAAAACTTACTTTTAGTTTGATTGTGTTTAAACAAAAAGCTTATTGAAACACTGTTGTTTCGTTTCATGAACCAGCAAATACTATGCAGTATGTGTGAAGATTCTTAAACTATAAAACGCCGGCTTGTACTTGACGGGGATGGGACCAAACACGGTCATCAATCCTTATATAACCAGTCCAGCTGGTTATCCTCTTGACAACACCGTCACTCAAATTGCATATTTAAAAACTGAAAATAAATCCGTTTAAAATGAAATACAATAATATTTTCATTTAAGTGTGTGCTTAAATAATAATTCACATTTTTTCAATATTAATTTGACCATTTAATTCTGTTTCCAAACTACTAGCCTTTTAGACAATTTTTCATATATACTGTATACATGAAGGCTTGAGCTAATACAATAAGATAAAATGAACGCTAGGTTAGATTTATTTTAAACAGAAATCATGAATGACCGTTTGCTTCCATAAATCAAATAATCAATTCTAGTTAGACAAAATTACACCATGCAGTTAAACAATCCTTAAACACACGCAGAGACTTTTACTAAAGCTATCAGAAGTGACAGGCAGTCCGCATTTCTTAAAATAAAAAATGAGGAAGAATGTTAACAGGAAGATGTTTTGGATCTACTAGGGGCGTGGGTGGAAGCTTGCAAATATAACTACATGCCATGAAGAGGCTTAATCAAACTGTGCATAAAACGTTTTTCAATATTGCCGTTTTGGGCGTTCTTAATCGTTTTTTCCACCTTTATAATGATTTAACACCTATTCAAAAGAAAGGAACACCATTTCAAAATTGTTACAAAAATAAATAATCGTTGGAAGTTGTGTATATATTCAATAAAAGACAAGTAATTTAGAAAACATTTGAATTGGGTTTTTTTGACTGACTTTCCAAAATTGCAGGTTATTATTAGTTATAACATCCCATTGAAAAATTAAATGATAAGATTTCATTTTTAATCTCAAAGCCTTCCTGGATGGCTAAGTTTAATACAAGTGCAAAATAACCCTATGCTGCTAAAACCGTTCGTTGCTTTTTTGTTAGCAGCATTGTGAATTCTAATGGGTGGCCTTGACCAAGTTGTTAAGGTCACAAAGGAACACACACAATATCCAAGACGAACGGGTTTCAAATTAACGTATTTGCGGATATGAATGAAAATAATCATTTTACCACTTATCGTATTTTTTAGTCGCAGACATTGCGATATATATGTATTCTTATACATTTTTATTTGTTATAAAATAACATATTCTTTAGCACGAGGAAATTAGAGATTTAATCCAAGAATATATAATTTGAAAATTAGAATGAACAAGATTAAAAAAGTATCTCAATAAGTCAAATAGCTTTACTCAAAATTCCGCGTAAGTCGAAGAATGTCTGAAGTTCCGTCATATTTCCTTTTTAATATTTGTACTTAAATTCCGCTTAGGTCAAGTTTTGACTTACTGAGACTGCTGTATAGTCGAAAGGAGTTTGTGGTCCCGTCAATTTCAGTCCAACATATTTTCATGTCAATAAGTCGAAGTGTGAAAACAGTCGAGTGATCAAAGATCGGTAACATCAAGGTGAGATGTTGTCACTGTGGTTCACACCTACCGGCTCTTTTATTAAAAGCGGTCTAGTAAATCACTCAGGTCTGCCGATATATACCGACCTGTTTCTGTTCTATTGTTCTCTATGTATTAGAAAATATGTGAAGTCGAGAAACTCGTGCGTTACACAATATTCACCGTAAACACATTTTTTTTTTAAAAATAACGCTGAATTGTGCAAATTTATATATAGTGTGTGTGTGTGTGGGGGGGGGGGTAAATGACCACTTCGAATAGGAAAAAGGGTCGATATATATTTTAAAGTACATTAAAACAATTAATAGAAATTTATTAGCGCATACGGCTGTAAGAACCCTTATAACATATATTCCAGATTATTTGTGAGAAAAACGAACTGGCTACTGTTCTGGCGTTGAAGTTTGTGTTTCACCGGTATTAATGAGTACAATAACGCACATTTAGCCTTTCTTTATAGTTTGCTTTTCGGTATACCTAACACATTTGCCGAATTATATAGCTTCATAAGATACTAGTTTTCGGCATTTATTTCCACAACTATGTCTGATTTTGAACAGCAATTCTGCATTATGGGATATGTATACGACGATATTATATTATATTATTGGTGGCATATCGAATCAAAGTCAACTTCTGCATCTTTCTTTCCCAAAATATTACTTTCAGTGAGAATATAGTTTCATCTTAAGTATAAGACCGTTTTTTTTCTCATTTTTTTCCCAGTTTTTTTACATTACAAT